TTATATTATGCCAACTTTCGAGGTTTTCTACCCTTAATAATTCTATTCTTAGAAAAATTTTCCTCAGGATAAAAGCTGAATAACTAATATATTTCCTGACTCCAGGTTCTTGAAATACATTTATTCATGTGAAATAAACTAAAATTTCACCTTTTCTAAAAAATAAACCATCACTTTTTGCTCATCTTATGATTATTTATTGCATATTTTATCTTCCCGAGTACTTTATGTACATTTTGAAAGGAGAATTTTAACTGCTTTATTATAGCAATTTCCCTAATCTCTAGCATAGTACCTTGTCTGCAGGTAATAATAAGTAGAGATTTATTGGGTAGATGAAAGTATGGATAGCACAGCTGTGACAACTAATGTTCAAATGAGAGGAAAAAAATCTCCTAAATGTGGACTTGTTTGCTCCCTTTCCATTAGAACCAGAGAAGGAAGGATGCACAATTGAAAACAACAATGCCACAGCATTTAGTGAATTGCAAAACTATAGCAAGATTTTCTCTACTCATTTGTATCTTTGGGCAGCAATCATATGTAAAAATCAGAATTAAGAGGTGAAACATTCTGATGGAGTACTTGAATTTCATAGGAGGGTCAGGGCCTTCATTTAAAACTGACATTATTTATTTTTTGATAGAAAATTACCAATAAGCCCATTAGAAAATTGCTTTCCATTTCTTTTAAGACAGTGAAGGTGGAAACCAAAGTGCCTAAGAACAAAATGATTTTCTTCCATGTATTATAAAAGATAAGAATGTCAAGAACCATGTTTGTATGTACTTAATGAAGTTACAAAACTTCTTTGTCATGATTGGGTGGTATAGTACTTTTTAAGAATTTTTTTCTAAATTACAGTCCATCCATAAGAAGAGAACCAGTTTGTTTTTGGTTATTAAACTCTTCTGGAAAGTTTTGCTAGGTGGCAGCATATGCTCAGTAATAGTTAAGTTGTAGATAATTACTAAGTACTCTAGATTTTTTAGATTGTTTCTCATCAGAAATAAAAAGTATAATTCACCAATAAGTGACACAAATGGCCAAATTAGAGTCCTCTTTATAAAACCATAATTAATTTTGTCAACTATGAAATCCTTCAGGTATATGGAAAATAATATAACAAATGTCCTTGTGATCTACTTCCTATATTTAACAAATGTCAGTGTTTTGCCATCTCTTAATGTTTAATTCCACCCACCTTCTTTTCTACCTGTTACTCTTCTGGTATATGTTTTTCTAATATTTTCATAATTTTAATAACATATATATGTATCTATACCCAGTGTATAGTATAATGTTGTATA